AACTTCTTCCTCTGTGGGAGTCAAGGCTATTTCTTACCTCGCACAGACACGGGTGTCTCTGGAGAAACGCGGGTGTCTCTGGACCTCCTTCCATCTGGGGCCCGCAATGAGTCATGGGTGGTGTAGCTGGGACAGGCATCCACAGGGCTGCCAGGGGATGCTCTCAATGCTTCTGGTGGCAGCCCGCCACTCAGCAAAGATGGCTTTCTCAGCCGGCCAGCCCAGTGAGACCCCAACCGTGTGAGACACAGAACTCCTAAACTCGGTGACAATGTTAGAAACTTCTTCTAGCATTTCTTCCATTCATTTATTCTGTCTAAATGTCCTTGGCACTTCTTTGAAACCAGGTGAGGTGCTGGGTGCTGGAGGGCCAGTGGTGAGTGGACAAGACAGATTAAGTCCCTACCTTGTTGCCATTCGAGCCTAGCAAGGCAGGGAGGGAAGCGATCAAGGGAAAACAATGAAGAGACCACGGATGAGTGTCCTATAGCGAGTGTGATTGTCGGGCCGAGGAGGAGCTGCACAGGCGGTGGCAGTTCGGAAGCAGACTATCAGACTTCTCGCCCCAGGCCCCTCAGGGTGGGCTGCCCTAGGCCCCTCAGGGGGGCCTGGAATCGTCAGTCTTTCGTCTTGCCATCAAGCTGCACCATTTGTGCCACCCTAGCCCCAGTGTTCGAGGGGTTAAGCATTTGGCTTCAAACCACAAGATCAGCAGTTTGAAACCACCAGCTGCTCTGCACGAGAAAGAAGGGGCTTTCTACTTCTGTAAACCAGGAGAGTCTCCGAACCCCACAGGGGTGTCTTTATAAATGAGTCGGCATTGGCAGGGTGGGCAGTGAGGGCTTTTTTGAGTCTGAGGATTCAGTAAGGCCAATATAGGCCGATAGAGAGCACATCGCTTCAGAGCAACCAAACCCACTGCCGTCACGTCAATCCCGCCGCATCGCCACCCTGTGGACAGAGTAGAACTGCCCCTGTGGTGGCTGAGACTGCCCATTTCCTTCTTCCCCGGAGCGGCTGGTGCTTCCCAGCTGCCGACCTTGTGGATGGCAGCTCAATCCACAACCATGCACCCCCAGGACTCCTCTGAACAGAGACCTGGAGGCAAAAGGTAGGCATAGAGATAGGGGAGAAGCCAGGCAGAGCAGAGAACATGGAGAAACCTGGAGGAAGGGCAAGCCTGGCATTTAAGGAGGAGGGACAGGTCCGGTGTGGCTTGGCCTTGAGAGCAAAGGGATGGTGAGGGAGAAGCTGGAGGCTAGAGCAGAGCCAGCGCCTATGAACCTGGGTCTGGGCGAAGGAGTAAGAAAGGGGCTCCTGCAGATGGGGACGCTTCTTAACAGGTCCCAGTTAAGTGCAGAAGGACATGGCCAGAACATGGTGGAGAACAGAGAACGGTGTAGGTGGAAAGCTTCCATCTGTACGCACCTCTGGGATGGCTGGCACTCATGGGTCGAGTCAGGGTGGCTGCTCCTTCTCAGGTAGGAGCGTGGGGAGGGCAGGGCCTGAGCTGGGTGGGTGGGTGCTCTCGGGGGTTGGGGGTGGGGTGTGGGGTGGGAGGGGCATAGAGGAATAGTGTGTAACTGGTGCTTCAGAGAAGCCTGTCACTGGACGGCAGTAATAAAGATGAAAAGACAAACAGAAAGGAGGACGTCTTGTAGAGCAGAGCTCCTGTCAATGTTTTCTGTAAAGACACAGACAGTAAGTGTTGTAGGCATGGAGAACCAGGGGCATCCGTCACGGGTACCCAGCTGTGCCATATTACCACGAAAGAGCTCTTAGACAATATGGAATCATATGAGCCTGCCTCTGATCCAATGAAACGTGATTGTGAAAACAGCCTCAAGGCAGGATTAGGCCCAATCCAGCTTTAGACAATCCCTGCCCCAATATATGTGGCTAAGGACCACCTTAGATGGACTGTAAGTGTAAGATACATACCGATGTTTAAGAAATTAGCACCCAAAAAAGTTATATAGATCAATATTTTTTTTACATTGACAACACATTGGAAGGGTAATGTTATAGAGCTGGTGGGTCAAATAAGCTATATTATCAAAACTGATTGCACCTGTTTCTTTAATTTTCCAAAAAACATGATCACTAGATATTTAAAATTACATTTTGACCTCACATTATATTTCGATTGGGTAGCACTATTTGAGAACAACACCTTTTTCCTCGTGAAATACATATTAATGCTCCGAACCTGCAGAGTCCCTGGAAGCCCTAGTGGTTTGGTGGACTATACATTGAGCTGCTCAATGCGAAATCAGTGGTATGAATTCACCAGCTACCCATGTGGGAGAAAGATGACACTGTCTACTTCTGTAAAGGTTTAAAGGGTCAAAAACCCACAGGGGCAACTGTCCTTGATCTTATAGGATCATGATGAGTCGGAATTGAAGCAGATTGTCACATTGAGTTAGTTGAAGTTTATTGTGCCAACCTGGCCGATAAACACATGTGGGGTTAATTGAAGGGCAGAGAGATAAATGGCTCAGTGAGCCTCGCCTTTCTAGTTCTCGGGTCTCTTGCTTTGTGATGGTCGGACCAGGGTGCAGCTGCCTTAGTCAGTTCCCTGCTTCAGCTGGCAAGGCTCACTTCCTGCAAGACATCCCCGAGGAGAAGCCGCATGAACCTACCCTGATGCAGCCCTGGGTGCTGGAGCAGCCATGTGGAGACCCCTGCCAGCACTGAGATGCTTACAGGTTCACTGATTCGGCTTTACTCCTACAGTTGGCATTGTGTCTGTTTTGTGAGGTGGAGGAGGACTTTGTGGATTGGTGTAGGACATATGGGTTAATGTTGGACTTGTGGGCTTGGGCAGCACTGGGTTGGGATGTTTTCTTGATGTGCACTTACCCTTTATATAAAACTCTCTCTCACATATGAGTTTCTGTGGATTTGTTACTCTAAAGTCCCCAGACTAACACACACATCTTCCTTCCACAGAAGTGCCTGATCACTAACCACTATACCATCAGGGCTCTGTGTGTGTGTGTGTGTGTGTGTGTGTGTATTAGCTAGTTGTCTTGTCTTTATCGGTGCTCCTCCAACTTGGATCTGTGGTGCTCTGCTTCCTCAAACGATTAACAGCTATTGCTCAAAATAGGAGTGCCTTTCGTTTAAAAAATAAATAAATAAAGGTAGGGGGAAGGATGGGGCAGTCATGCAGAATTAAAGACCCATCCAGTCTAGAACTGAATCCCACGGAGAATTCTTCACCCCTCCTGAACTTGCTCGCGTTTCTAGGGTCTCTCTTCTCCCAAGGACAGCAGGGACTAGGCGATGCTCCCCCAACGTCTTGGGTTTAGAAGTCTTATTTATTTAGTTTTGGCAGAACCCTAATTAGCCCTCCTCGAAGGCCGTTTGGAGAAGGCTGGTCTGCCCTGCGATGCACAATCAGCAGGATTTTCAGAAGTCCAACTCAGCTGGCTGTTTTCAGTGCTGCCGAAACAGAGCCCACCGCTGGTATAACCTGGGAATTCGAGAAAGTGGGAAGTTTGGGGGACACGAAGATCTTTACCGAACTGCCCGGTCTAGAGGCCCATCCCCTAAAAGTCCCTTCATGTGAAAGCCCCACTCCCACCCCAGCCCTCCCCAAGCAGTAATGGTCTACCACTGGGCAGTGGCTGTTCCCTAAGGCAGAGTGGGTGTGGGAGGTCCCTCCAGGCCAGGGCGTTAGGAAGCCACCTCCCGGCCCTGACCTTGTGTCCCTCTCTTCCAGGCGCCGTGGCCTGAGTGACCAGATCATGGAGACCCTGCTTGGTGGCTTGCTGGCGTTTGGCATGGCGTTTGCTGTGGTCGACGCCTGCCCCAAGTACTGTGTCTGCCAGAACCTGTCTGAGTCACTGGGGACCCTGTGCCCCTCCAAGGGGCTGCTCTTCGTGCCCCCGGACATCGACCGGCGCACGGTGGAGCTGCGCCTGGGCGGCAACTTCATCATCCACATCGGCCGCCAGGACTTCGCCAACATGACGGGGCTGGTGGACCTGACGCTGTCGCGGAACACCATCAGCCACATCCAGCCCTTCTCCTTCCTGGACCTGGAGAGCCTGCGCTCCCTGCACCTGGACAGCAACCGGCTGCCCAGCCTCGGGGAGGACACGCTCCGCGGCCTGGCCAACCTGCAGCACCTCATTGTCAACAACAACCAGCTGAGCGCCATCGCCGACGAGGCCTTCGAGGACGTCCTGCTGACGCTGGAAGACCTGGACCTCTCCTACAACAACCTCCACGGCCTGCCCTGGGACGCCGTGCGCCGCATGGTCAACCTCCACCAGCTGAGCCTGGACCACAACCTGCTGGAGCACATCGCCGAGGGCACCTTCGCCGACCTGCAGAAGCTGGCCCGCCTCGACCTCACCTCCAATCGGCTGCAGAAGCTGCCACCGGACCCCATCTTCGGCCGCTCTCAGGCCTCCCTGCTGACCGCCACCCCCTTTGCCCCACCCTTGTCCTTTAGCTTTGGGGGGAACCCCTTGCACTGCAACTGTGAGCTGCTCTGGCTGCGGAGGTTGGAGCGCGAGGACGACTTGGAGACGTGCGGCTCCCCGGGCGGCCTCAAGGGCCGCTACTTCTGGCACGTGCGCGAGGAGGAGTTCGTGTGCGAGCCGCCACTCATCACCCAGCACACGCACAAGCTCCTGGTCCTGGAGGGCCAGGCGGCCACCCTCAAGTGCAAGGCCATCGGGGATCCCAGCCCCCTCATCCACTGGGTGGCCCCCGATGACCACCTGGTGGGCAACTCGTCGCGGACGGCCGTGTACGACAACGGCACCCTGGACATCCTCATCACCACGTCTCAGGACAGCGGAGCCTTCACCTGCATCGCCGCCAACGCGGCCGGAGAGGCCACGGCCGCCGTGGAGGTGTCCATTGTCCAGCTGCCGCACCTCAGCAACGGCACCAGCCGCGTGGCGCCCCCCAAGTCCCGCCTCTCGGACATCACAGGCTCCAGTAAGACCAGCCGGGCAGGGGGCGGCAGTGGGGCCGCGGAGCCTCCCAAAAGCGCCCCGGAGCGGGCTGTGCTGGTGTCCGAAGTGACCACCACCTCCGCCCTGGTCAAGTGGTCGGTCAGCAAGTCCGCCCCGCGGGTGAAGATGTACCAGCTGCAGTACAACTGCTCCGACGATGAGGTACTGATTTACAGGTGAGCCAGGGGCTGCCACGACCGGCAGGAAGCAGGCACGGGGAGGGCTTTGAGGTGTTCCCACCGGCCTATCACCCCAAAGGGGCATGTGGGGATCCAGAGGATTCCTGAAGGTAAGAGGGGATCGAACATCAACCACAGGCTTAAGGACAACACAACTCATACGTGGGCAGTGGGAGGGGAGGGCTCTGTGTGGGGCTGTGAGGTCAGACGTTCTATTTAGAACCCCACCTGGGGGAGACACAAGAGCAATGAGCAGTACCTGGTAGCCGAAGGAGCTGCCCCTTCCCAAACAAACAAAGCAAGCTCACTGCACCAAGGCATGTTCTCACTCACTCAGGGTGACCCTACAGGACAGAGGAGAAGCGCCTCTCTGGTTTTCTGAGGCTGCAAACCTTTAGGAAAAAGAAAGCCTCATCTTTTCCCCATAGATCAGAGGGTGAGTTCAACCTGCTGATCATGCGGTTAACAGCCCAACACCATGGCCACTGTGACACCCGGGCTCCTCTCTGGGCAGGGATGGATTCGGAGGCGATCGCAGTTCGGGCTTTGAGGTCGGAAAGAGCCGACTTCCAATCCCAGGTCTGCCTTGTGCTGGTCCTTTCATGCTTCTACCGGCCTCAGTTTCTTCCTCTGCAACATGAGGATAAACTAGATTTAGTTTGGATACAATATCCGAGGCTTAAAAATAAACCACAAAAAGAGAGAATGGGAGAGAGAGAGAGAGTGGGTTGGGGGAAAACGTGTTGGTTCATGTAATTAAAAAGTTGGGGAACTGTTTCAGGAACAATTGATTCTAAACCCCGCCCCTACCCCCACCCATGCAAATGTCTGGTCTCTGAGTATCTTGCTTGTGCCAGCTACCGATGGGGTTGATTCTGACTCATGGAGATTGCTCCGTCGGGTTTCAAGGCTCTCATCTTTCAGACGCAGCTTGCCAGAACTTTCTTCTGGGTCTGAACAGCACATTTTTGGCTGGAAGATGAACTCAATGTTTAACCTTTTGCACCAGTCAGGGACTCCCAGAGTTTCTTGTCGGGAGCTGTCAATTCTGACTCATAGTGGCCCCATGTGCAGCAGAACGCTGGCTCTGTTGCTAAAGTCGCTGTGTTTGAGTTCCGTGTTGTTGCCCTGTGTCAACCCATCTCCTTGAGGATCTTCCTCTTTAAGGCTGGCCCTCCACGTTATCAAGCAAGGGACCCTTCTCCAGGGACTGGGCCTCCTGATGACACCCCAAACACACGAGATGACATCTCCCTACACTCACTTCTAAGGACCACTCGAGGAGCCCTTGTGATGGCGTGGTTACTCGTTGGGCTGCGACTCCCATGGTTGGCAGTTTGAAACCACCAGCAGCAGCTCAATGGGAGAAAGACTGGGCTTTCTACTCCTGAAAACAGCTACAGTCTCAGAAACCCAGGAGTCACTACGGGTCAGCATTGACTCATGGGCAGTGAGCTGTTTCTCATGTTTTGAAAGCGCATTCTGGGGTTACTTGTCCTCTGATACAGCCTTGTCTGTGCCCCCAGCTGTCCGTGCAAGCTCAGTATTCTTTGCCAGAGATTCTTACCTTCCCTAGATGGTGTTCCCCTCTGAGTTGGTCTGAGTTGGTCTTACTTTCACGCACCTTCTGCCCTCTTAGGCCTAGAGGGTGGCGAGCATTCCCATCCCACCTGGTCCCACAGAGTTCTCAGTAAGCAACGCAGGTCTCATGAGCCCCCTGAATCCAAAAGGGAACATCATCCAGCTCACCGGCCCTGACTTCTCTGGGCTCCAGTGTCCCCTTCAGGAGTGTTGGCCCAGTAAAGCGGTTGTGAGGATCAAGGGGTTATCTAAGCTAGGAGGAAAGAGCTTAAACCTAGACAGCTTCCGTGGAAGTAAGGCTAAGAACCAGTGCATCCACAGCCTAATGGATAACCTGATTTATAAACCCGTATAACCTAATTATCAAGGTTGACATTTCTTCCAGCTTTGAATTTATGAGTTGGTAAGTCTTGGGGATGGACGGATGAAGGAGCACACATAAGGAAGACATTCATTTGCTGAATGGAGCCCATGTGATTGACAGAGCATCATGCTCTGTGGAAACTGTTGTAGAGGCTGCGGGCCATGCACTGTTACTGTCACGGGACACAGAAACCTCTCCTACCATGGCATCTGCTGGGCCTGTGCAGATGTAGTTCTTATGCTCAAGATGTACAGAACACAGCTTTGCAACTTAAATAGGCACACACATGCCTGCACAATATGTAAATATCCCATGGAGCCTTGGAAAGCCCCAAAGATTCATTCCCTTGCTGCCCACTCACATAATATTAAACACAAATATACATGCAGTTTTGTAATTATGAAAATGATAGTCTCCGTAGCAAATGTCAAAAGAAGTATTAAACCCTAAATATACACAAATATGGGTGCACGGGAACACAAATTCCATACATGGTTTAATTCAAATATATATTCATTCTGTATAGTTTACAATTAAATTACAGATGAAAGAATAGCCTAATATATATAGTTTAATGTATATTGCAATTATAAAATATAATCTGTAGGAAATTTGAAAACCAGGGGTAGAACTTAAAGACACACCTATTTTAAATTAAAATATACTTATTTTACATGTATAGTCTTCGAAGGAAATCTAAAAAGCTACATGAGAAATTGAACACATACATTATAAAATTTGAATATCTATATAAGATTTGTACTTTTCTAATTATAAAGGTAATAAGTATTGAAGATAGAAATTTTGAAAAGCTGAGAAAATTAGAGGAAAATGAAAGTGACGCGTAATCTCCCCAGTCCAGAGAACCCTGAAACATTTGGGAAGTGAGTCTTTCTGGAATGCCAAACATCTTATCATCCATCTGGAATACACGTCTGAATCATAATTCTTGCCGTACAACATTATACCCTACTTAGTTCCCATGACACTAAATGTTTTTCATGTCTTTGTAACCTAATTTATTTAACCAATCTTCTACTGTTCGATATTTATTTGGTTTCTTGTTTCTCAACACTAAGAATCACACAGCGAAGGATATCTAGGCACACAAAGGGATTTGTGCGGTGCCACTAGTTTCTTTAGCATATTTTCCTAGGGTTGGAATTACTACCTTAACGAGTGAATTATAATCGTTACAGGTGACATCTGGGTATTAATTTAGCCTCTCACCAGTGGGAGCTGACAGCACTCACTTGGACCACAACTTTACCAATATTGAATATGTACTTGCTTTCTTCTCTGCCAATTTGATAGGCGGAAAATGAAACCTGGCTTAATCGGCATGTCTTTATAACTTGTGAAGCTGACCTTTTGGAAATAAGTATATTTCTTTGCGCTTGCAGATTTATTATTGAGAAAAACTGGAAAGGCAAAATGCTCCCAGGTCTGAGGCTGGCACGGGCAGAGCACAAGCCACAGGAGATGTCAGCCTCCTGAGGAGGCCCGAGGGGCACCCCGCCCTGGTGGATCTCAGAAACACCGTGAGGGGCAGGGGCAGAGAGGGACTGTGCGCTGAGTCATTCCACAGGGTGATTCAAATGGCTGTTAGCTGCTGATTGAGAGACTGGAGACACTAGGTTTATAAATACACACGCAAAACGGAAGCCAGGAAAACGACGCAGGTAGCGATGGTGACTTCCTCCACTCACGCTCACTCAGCCTAGCTCTCCAAATAGTGCAGGCGCATAGAACGTGCTCACGCTCACGAACACCAACACCCAGCAACCATCCGAACCACTCTGACTCACAGCAACCCCCGGTGGGTCCAGGTGGAACGGCGCTCCATAGGGTTTTTCAGTGACTCATTTTTCAGAAGTAGAATGCCAGCCCTTTCTTCCGAGGCACCTCTGGGCCAGCTAGAACCTCTAACTTTCCAGGTAGCAGCTGGGCACAGTGACCATGTGTGCCACTCAGGGACTCCTCAAGGAATACTGATTATTTGGGATAGTAGACTTTGTGGGAGTCGCAATAAGGACAAGGAAGGCAAGTAGGCGGAGTCACCGTAAGTCAAGTCAGGCCACTATCTCATCCATCTTCCCCACCAAGGAAACGGAGGGTATAGCCAACGCACAGTGGCTCTTTGTTTCAATAGGGAGGTGTGCAGAGGAATAGAGAAGCCCTGTGTACAGTACTGAATCTCCAAGGAAAGGTGACAGTCACAATAACGAGCAACAGTGTGGGCTACTTGTGTGCTTGCCCCTGAGTTGGACAGGCTTTTATTTTTCCTTCTATTTATTTTATTTATTTATTTTTAAAGAATCATTTTATTAGGGGCTCATACAGCTCATCACAATCTGTACATACATCATCTGTGTCCAGCACTTTAGTACATATGTTGACTTCATCATTCTCACGACACCCACTTTCCACCCGAGCCCCTCGTGTCAGCTCATTTTTCCCCTCCCTCCCCCCAATCCCCGATAATTTATAATTTATTATTATTTTATCATATCTTACCCCATCCCACGTCTCCCTCACCCACTTATCCAGGGAGGAGGCCACATGTAGACCTTGTCCTCTGTTCCCCCTTCCTCCCTCTCCTTCCCTCCACCCTCCTGCCATTGCCACCCTCTCCACTGGTCCTGGGGGGTTCATCTGTCCTGGGTTCACTGTATTTCCAGTTCCTATCTGTGCCAGTGCACATCCTCCGGTCCAACCAGATATGTAAGGTAGGATTGGGAACATGGCAGTGAGGTGGAAGAAGCATTTAAGAACTAGAGGAAAATTGCATATTTCATTGTTACTACACTGCACTCCGATTTGCTCCTCACCTCCCCGCAGCCCTTCTGCAAGGGGATGCCCAATTTCCCCCCGATGGGCCCTGGGTCCCCACTCTGCTCTCCCCCTCATTCACAATGTTATGATTTTTATTTTTTTGGCCTTTGATGCCTGATACCTGACCCTTTCACCTCCTTGTCATCTTACAGGCTGGTGTCCTTCTTCCATGTGGGCTTTGTTGTTTCTCAGTTAGATGGCCCCTTGTTTATCTTCC